AGGAATTCTGGGAGCTGAAGTCCATGAGTCATGAAGGGGCCATAGTTCCCCCATGCTGGCTCAGGAATTCTGGGAGCTGAAGTCCACGAGTCATGAAGGGGCCATAGTTCCCCCATGCTGGCTCAGGAATTCTGGGAGCTGAAGTCCACGAGTCATGAAGGGGCCATAGTTCCCCCATGCTGGCTCAGGAATTCTGAGAGTTGAAGTCCATGAGTCATAAAAGAGCCAAGGTTGCCTACCCTGATCTAGGAAATACCATCATAGAAATCTATGTAACTTGTTCAATTAGAGCACTTTTACACTGCCTTTAGATTTTCATACGCTTTGGTTACTTTTACACAAAAGACATCCAAAATGCCCTCACTTCTCATTTGTGTGGAGAATTTATGCTCCATCCCTTTTACTTTAGTGACTTCCAGTATTTTAGAATACCTTCCGAAACATGAATGGAAGTGGCTGAAAATACTCACCTGGTTGGGGGGGTTTAATGAGAGGATTCCAAAAACTCAAAAAAGGCATCCCTGACAAACTCTGACCAGTTTTGGAGGGGCTTAAGGAGCCAAGCTTAGGGTGCCCATTCAAACCCTAAAAGTTAAACTAATCTAAACATTTTGGCTCCTCCCACGTAGGAGAGGCCACACCCTCTACAGTTCCCAGGTGGAGCAGAAAGAGCAGGAAACACTGCCAAACTATTAATATCAAATCAAGGTATTAATATAATTAAAATAAGTTATTAACAGTTTCAAAATAAGCAGGTAGTGCACTCAGCTAGAAATTTATTATTTCATATAAAGACCTCTGAACGGAAACAATCGTACAGACTTGGCATTAGTTCCTGTAAGTTCTGAATACCTGGGAAGATCCTGGAAAAGATAATCAAAAAACAGATCTGTGAACAACTAGAAGCAAACAAAGTTATAACCAGTAGCCAGCATGGGTTTGTTAAAAACAGATCATGCCAAACCAATCTTATTTCATTCTTTGACAAAGTGGAATACTGTAGCCAATTTTGGTCACCATATCACAAAAAAGATGTTGAGAGTTTGGAAAAAAAAATTCAGAGAAGAGCAACTAAAATGATCAAAGGCCTGGAGACTAAAACATATGAAGAAAGGCTGCAGGACTTGGGTTTGGCTAGTCTAAAGAAAAGAAGAAACAGGGGCGACATGATAGCAATATTCCAGTATTTGAGGGGCTGCCACAAAGAAAAGGGGGTCACGTTATTCTCCAAAGCACCAGAGGGCAGGACAAGAAACAATGGTTGGAAACTGATCAAGGAGAGAAGCAACCTGGAATTAAGGAGAAACTTCCTAACAGTGAGGACAATTGACCAGTGGAACAGCTTGCCTCCAGAAATCATGGGCGCTCCATCACTGGAGGTTTTTAAGAAGAGACCGACAGTCACTTGTCTGAGATGGTATGGTTCTCCTGCTTGAGCAGGAGGCTGGACTAGAAGACCTCCAAGGTCCTTTTGAGATTCTATTCTATTCTATTCTATTCTATTCTATTCTATTCTATTCTATTCTATTCTTTTCACTGGAGAGCTTTTTAGGATGGTCTTTTGAGCAAAAGGCCCATGAAAATTGTGACTGCAGTTGCTGGACAATTAACCAGTGGAACAGCTTGCCTCCAGAAATCATGGGCGCTCCATCACTGGAGGTTTTTAAGAAGAGACTAAACAATCAGCTGTCTGAGATGGTATAGTTTCTCCTGCTTAAGTGGGGGGCTGGACTATAGAAGACCTCCAAGGTCCCTTCCAGCTCTATTCTATTCTAACCCCCTGCTCAAGAAGGAGACCCCATACCATTGAGGACAAATGTATGTCCAATCTCCCTCCCTCCTTGTTGCAGCCTCTCAAATACTGGAACACTATCATGTCCCCCCTAGTTCTTTTTTTTGTCACTGGACTAGACATACCCAGTTCCTTCATCAACAGCTACTGACTGTGGCCCAGAAGGGAGCAGGATCTAAGCAACTCTAACTGATCTTGAAAGCAAACCACAATAAAATATAAAAAGGCAGAACTCTGATCACAATAATACTGATTTTTTTGACTTTCCCAACACCCCTGGCTGGTTAGCATCTGCATGGGAGACCACAAGAAATCCAGAATTGGAAGCCAGAATGAGAACTAAAAAATGTGGCCCCCTCTGACTGCTTGTCAAACCAACCATACTGACGGAGGTCAGCAGAGGTCACCTGGAAAGAAGCACCCCTTGTGGCTCAGATGTCAGCAAGCCACATCGGGCAAACCGCAGCTGGGACCAGAGCGTGCTACTAAGCAGACCAACCTCATCCAAATGCATGTTAAATCCTTTGGGGGCTTTCCAGAACATCAAAAATGTATGTCTATTCACTGCAGACCCATTTAATTTTCATTATGTAGCAAAATCCCAGACTTTTTGCAACGTTTGTTTTAATTCCTGTACCAAAGTAAATATATGAGAAATTAAATCCAGCAACTAAAATATGCCCAGCCTCAAATCAGGGTCTGTTCGTGTCACGAGAAGCCCCCAGTGTCCAGAACAAAACAGCAAAGCGCTCGTTTGGCACGCAGTCCCGTCTGCTAAGACATCAAGACGACATAAAGCATTTTGAATTCCATTCAATTAGAATTCCATTCAAGCATTAAACCATGTTTCTCCAGAGGGGTTTCCTCCCCCCCCCCGCAATTGAGCCAATCACGGTGGTGAAGATACAATCTCATCTTTAATTACAAAAAGTGACAGTTGCTGATCATGCCGCAAGAATGAAGAAATTAATCTCCCATAATGTTGGTTTAGCACTGGCTCACCAGACAGGTTAGGGATGCAAGTCTGGGAATCCCAGAGAAGCACATTCCTGACCCAACTGGAAGAAACCAGGTTCTGCAAAAACTTCCCCCAACACTCAAGAACTCAGCTGCACTGAAACTGCAAACCTACATTCGCAAGTGCAAACTCCAGACTTGAAAATGGCACGGTGATTGTGTGAGTTGAATGATTCTTCTAAGCCAGTGATGGCGAACCTTTTAGAGACCGAGTGTCCAAACTGCAAAACCCACTATGTATTGTCAGGTGCTGGGTGGGTGTGGCCCATTGAGTAGGCGTGGTAACAGCAGACTGGGTGGGACTAAAAAGTTCAATCAATCAATCAATTCCAACTTTGCAAGATCTTTTTTTTTCGTGAGAAGTTGAAATTGATTGATTGATTGAACCTTTTTTTTTTTTTGCACATGGTGGCGGAGGCCTAAAGCGAAAAGGTTTTATAAAACCCAGCTGAAGGCCTAGGACTGGGGTGATGGCGCACGTGCCCACAGAGAAGGCTCTGCGTGCCACCTGTGGCACGCATGCCACAGGTTCGCCACCACGGGCCTAAGCCCATTTTTAGCAGGTCCAGAATCAGGGCTCAGCGTGGTTAAAACTGTAAGAGAGGTTTTTTTAAAGACTTTTCCCCATCACACAGAGAGAATACGGGCAGTCCTAGACTTACAACAGTTTGTTTAGTGACCAAAGTTACAACACCACTGAAAAAAGTGACTCATAAGCGTTGTTCACACTTACGACCGTTGTAAAATCCGCACGGTCACGTGATCAAAATTCAGATGCTCGGCAACTGGTTCATATTTATGCTGCCAAGCGTCTGGAGTTTTAATCACGTGACCGTGCAGATGCTGCAACGGTTGTTAAGTGTGAAAAATGGTCATAATCCCCTTTTTTCAGTGCCATTGTAATTTCGGGGGTCTCTAAGTGAACTTTTGTAAGTCAGGGAGTACCTGTATTCACTGGTAAAGGTACGTAGTTCTTGGCTTATGACCAGTTGCTTAGCCAGTGTTTGGAGTTCCAACAGACCTACCTGGAAGCTACCTATGACCCGGGTTCCCCCCTCCCCCGCCATAGTCATGTGACTGCACTTCGGGTGCTCAGCAACCAGACTGCAATTATGTTTTTTAGGATGGTTTTGCTGAAAAATGGCTCTGGAGTGAACCACTGGTTTGTTTAGTGCAGGGGCAGGCAACCTTGGCTCTTTTATGACTCGGGGTCCTCAGCTCCCAGAATTCCTGAGCCAGCCATGCTGAGGGAAAAGGGAGGTTTCCAAGCTGAGCCATGATGGCTCAGGAATTCTGGGAGTTGAAGTCCACGAGTCATAAAAGAGCCAAGGTTGCCTACCCCTGGTTTAGTGACTACTGTGTTCCCTTAACAACCGCGCAAAAAAGATTATAAAGTTGGGTTGGTCACATGACCAAACTACTTTATGACTATCCCAACTTTCTACCATAATGGTCAGGTCCCATTACAGTCGCAACTCGAGGACTGCCTGTAATCTGATAGTGGTTTGACTGGAAATGGCCACCCTTTCTGTTCCACAAAATTTCCCCCCCTTCTCCCTCAGGCACTTCTTGTTTTCCGAGAAATAAATGAGATTCCCAGAAGCAACTCTCTCCCTCCTTCGCAGTTTTCTCATTATCCTTTTAATCATTCTCACTTAACAAGCTCTCTCACCACTCAAGAAGCTGCTCAGGGCTATTTGCTCAGATTGCCCGGTTCCATTTTTCAAAATCCAATAAAAGCTGCCAGGAAGCAAATGTGGTTGACATCCCTTAATTCTTTGAACCCTGACTGGGGACCACTGGTTTAGCTCAGGGGTGTCCAACCTTGGGAACTTTAAGTCAGCTATGCTGGGGAATTCTGGGAGTTGAAGTCCACAAGTCTTAA